AGGTATCATTTATGATGATCATTTAGGTTCATTAATACAGTAGATATCCTAAATGATACCTACTGACTATACAAGTTTGCCTCGGGCTTAAGAATAAGAAAAGGGAACCCTTGTGCACTGTTGGTGGGATTGCAAACTGGTGCAGCTACTATGGAAAACAATATAGAGGTTCCTCAAAACACTAAAAATAGATCTACCATATGACCCAGCAATTACACTTCTGGGTATTTATCCAAAGAAAACAAAAACAAGAATTCAAAAACATATATGCACTTCTATGTTCACTGCAGCATTATTTATAATAGCCAAGATATGGAGGCAAGCTAGGTGTCTACTAATAGATAAATGGATAAAGAAGATGTGATATATATATAAATATATATATATATATATATATTCCTTTGATTTATATTATACACACACACACACACACACACACACACACACACACAAAATGGACAATGGAATATTATTACACAGCAATAAAAAAAGAATAAAATCTTGCCATTTGAAACAACATGGATGGACATAGAGGTTATTATGCTAAGTGAAATCAGTCAGACAGAGAAAGACAAATCCGTATGGTTTCACTTACATGTGGAATCTAAATAACAAAACAACAACAACAAAAGAAACCACAACAAAAACAGACTCAGAAACAGAGACCAAAGGGATGGTTGCCAGAGGAGAGAGGGTTAGGGTATGGAAGAAAATGGTGAAGGGGAATATAGTCATTAGAGTTGAAAGTTCCAGGTTCTAGCCCTATCTGTCTCATAACCTCCCTCGTGGAACAAAGTGATTGAGAACATGATCTTTGGTACCAGAAAAAAGTGGGCTCAAATTGGGCTTCTTCCGTTGTTAGCTATGTGACCTGGAGAAAGTTACCTAACCACTCAGAACCTCAGTTTCTCAATTCTATGAAAAGTGATACTTCCTATCTTCCAGGGCTGTTATAAGGATTGAATTAAATGAGAACACACACACACACACACACACACACACACACACACACACGAGCAAAGAACTGTGTCTAGCACATAGTATGTAATTAATAAATAGTAATAGTTGTTATTAAGTTGAACCTCATAAAATGGCTACATGTTTATTTTTTCCTATCTAAATGGCAATTCCATATGGTGTAGCCTAATATTAATGTTGTATAGAGGCACAAGAGCACAGTGATTAAGTATACAAGTTCTAAAACCAGGACATTTGGGCTAGAATCCTACTTCTGTCACTCACTAACAAGTTACAGAACTTTTCTAATTCCGTTTCTTAGCTGCAAAATTAAAAACATCTACTCCATAGGATGGATAAAAAGATTAGATAAATTAATCCATGTGAAGCTCTTAGATTAATGCCTGGTACTAAGCCAGGCCTTATGAATGTAATCTGCTATCGATATTATTAATATTGATATTAATAATGAAATGAAGGAAGCACATCTGAAAATGTCTGAAATTAATAAAAGAGAATTATACTGTGGCCATTTAGCTGTATAAAACAAACAGATTAAACATGAAGTGCTAAAATTCTACTAAAATATTGTGGAATCGTAAATTATTTAAATAAAAATAAGTCTCATAATAGCTTAACAACTTGTCTGAGACAAGTCTAAAACAACTGGAATGCTGAAAATATATGTTATCTTAGGGATAAATCAGTAATTTTCCTTATAAATTGCTAAACATCTTTAAACATCATTTCAAATAAGATAAAAAGTTAGTAGTGGTCTATAGAGTATGGGGTTTAATATGTTCTTGCATATGTTCATAGAGTTGTCCATTATAACAGGCTAAATATTGGACTGAGCGGATCAATAGACCAAAATGGTGGCAAAGCAACTAATTCAGTGGGTGACAGTGAGCAAATCACTTCAACCTCATTTTTCTATTTGGGAAGAGGAAGAAATCTACAATAAGATATCAAAGCTCTCCTCTACATCTAAAATTCTATGAGTCTCTATCTATTATAAGTAGATATAGAATACAATTATTGCATCAAAGTAATATAACCCATTCACCTGTCAAAAAACAGGAAGTAAATTGTTTATTATAGCAAAATGTTAACAACAAAAACAGACCAAAAAAAACCACTTAGTTAAAAATATCCCCTGAATTGAAACCACATTATTCTGTGCAATGAAAGAAAAAAGTCAATAATCAAGCCTTTGCTGAAATTGACAGGAGGCATATATTCCTTCTCAGCAGAATTAAACTACCTGGACTGGCTGTGAAGCCAACACCAACTTAAAATCCTGGGTCCATTTGTCCAGAGACTCCAATCTCCAATCTTAAGAGACTCACATGACCTCAGATTTCTGTCTCTGAAAAACGTTAATTATGATATAACTCCTAGGACTCTGGAGACAGTAAATTAGTTAATGGTTCTGTATCACTTGAAAGATAATGATTGACAAAATAAGATCATCACTGTGAAATCAGAAAAAAATCCCAATGCTCACAACAACGTTCTTCCAGTTAACAGAGGTATCTCAATGAGAGTTTTAAAAAAGATCTTCGTGACCATGCTGCAGATCTAAAATGAAAATTGTGAGCAAAAATAAAATTATATTCTCATCATGGCATCTTAAGAATAACTAGGTTAAAACTGAACAGTCCATACACAAATGTTAGTTTTGGGGGCAAAAGGTATAAAAATCAAAACACATTGAATCTGGTATCATAAAACACATTCTCTTCTCAAATTAAAATGTTTCTATCAATTAAATTATATCCTTTAATGGTTAAAATGTCAGAAATACAACTCAGAAAAAGGTGAATATGAATATGAAGGTTTCCATAGATAGTAGGCTCAGTTCAATTGCTCCAACATTTCAAAAAATTTAAGAAACTAAATTTCTCAGAGGCGGTCACATTAGTATTTTCTATTAAAGTACAAGCAACTACATTTTCCATTCCATGAAAATAAATAAATCAAAAACAGATTTTATCTCGGGTAATCGATAGAGTCCTTTATTTAAGAGTAATGTTACCCCAAAATATTTACTTTTTTTAAAAAAAAAGTTGTTATTGGAAGGGGGAAGAAGTTATTGTTTGGTTTGCTTGGGTGTTATTTTGGCTTTCCTCAAAAGACCTTTTTTTCCTTCTTAGATAATTTTAGGATTCCAATATTCACAGCGTGTCAAAATTAAACATCTGCTAGGAAGTGCACAGTCTGATTCACACATTAACTCGGGCGTAAACTAGCCGTGATCACACTGCCTCCGTGTCTGCATCAGCCAGTCTGGGAAACAATAGTCATGATGAAAGCCCCTACTCAGACATATGAATCCCAACATTATTTTATCTCCCATCATTTAAGACCTTCTTTTCCCTGTCAGTGCTTATGCAATTTCTTAATCCTTAATTTTGATCTGAGAACAGTCACCTCGCCTATTAGTAATAAAAATAGATACTCCAGTTCTGAAAATTAAATACCTTTACCTTCATTCTCAAAGGCTCCCATCACCAGATTATGGAGAAAATCAGAGCTATTTTTATAGTTATGCAACAATAACTACAGGGCCCATAGCTTCCCCTCCAATATTAACTCCTATTTTGGAAAGGGGGAGCAAGAGGACCACCCATATCCTGAGGTCTTTTTACTAATTGTACTAATTAGTGGCTAGTTGTTTGCCTTAAAGCAGAATAAGTGCATATGGCCATGAAGGTGGGAATATCTTCCCCCACAGTCTACACATGTCCTGTCCAAAACGGTGGCCATTAGCCATACATGGCTACTGAGCATATAAAATGTGTCTAGGGCCACCAAGGAATTGTGTTGTTAAGTTTATTAATTCTATCAATTTAAATTTAAAAGCTAATATTCACTTGTGTCATTGGAAAATCTTTAAATATCTTTGGAACAACTTGGGTATGTGAATCCACTATTTCATCTGTAGAAGTTTACGAAATCTAAACACAGGTCAAGTATTTCTGATGAAAATTTAGTGAAAGAATTCTGATGTGCATAAGTGTAAAATACATATGATAGTTCAAAGAATTAATAGGCAAAAAAAATAATGTAAATTATTTCAATAGTTTTAAATAGTGGCCACATGTTGAATACTTCAATCTATTATATACTTTGGATACAGTATTTTAAATAGATTACATTATTAAAGTTAATGCTTCTCACTTTCTAAAGGTATTACTGAAAAATTTTAAATTATTTATGACTCATATTATATTTCTATTGGGCAGCACTGACAAAGAGTAATAATACTAACCAGCGACATAAGTATCTGAGATGGGCTAGTGAAGTAATTTAGAAAATCAGTGTAGTATGAGAAGACAGCCAAAGACCAGCCAGCACTTCATTCAAATCCTATCTCTGACGACCATCCAAAGGGACTTGAGCAAGCCATTCCGCTTCCTTAGCCTCTATTTCTCCACGTATAAAATGGGAAGGATAGCTTCCTGGCTTAAACAAAATATTTGTAAAGTGCCCGGTATATTTTTGGTATAAATAAACAGTTGAATAAATAGTTGTTTCCAATAGAAAGCAGAGATTTTGGACAACTACTGAGAAAGAGCTGTTTCTCAATGTCTATGACTTCATACTATATTAGACACATACTTTGTGAGACCTGGCAATGAAAGGAAACAGTGCAGAAATCCTCTGGGTAAGTTTCGGGGCAGGCTGAAGTCGTGATTAGTGAAAACTAAAAGCCTGTCATTGGTTGGTCCTCCTGGCAAAGCAGATCCTTCAGGGCACTTTGCAGCTGACAAGAAACCGCAACTTTTTTCAGGCCCCCCTAACCTCCTCTGGCAGTTTTGCCCCTTTCACTCCAGCAGATATTATCTTGGTTCTTAGTCATTTTAACCCGGACAAGTATGAATGACACATCAAGAAAAACCTGACCACTTTAGAAAATAACAAATATTTCTAGAGTGAACAACCAATGTGTCTTTACTGAAAGGAAGAACTGACCAAGGGCTATAGCAATTTCTGCCCACATGAAACCTATTCCACCAGGTCACCCAAGTCCCACTTACCCCTAGCATCTGGTGGAGGTAGTGATACTCTGGCCCTTGGTTATATAGCAGGAACGTTTTCCAGAAAAACAGGACGTTCAGGGAGAGCCAGATAAGCTAAACCATACAAAGGGAGAGAGAAAATCAAAGTTAAAAGTAAACGTTAACCTGATGAACGAAAACCTCAAGTACATTCCTTGGACACAATACTTTTTAAATGGAACCTCAACTGGTAAATCGCGGAAAGCATACTCAAGTGAAGCAGCAAGCTGAAAACCACTCCGAGGAAAAGGAGTCTGACCCCACTCAGCCCTTGCACCTGAGAGGAAGCATTTGGGTTTGCAAACAGGTCTCCTGAAAGATCTGCAGTTATCGCCTACAGCACAAAATGAGACTAAGAAATTAGTGACATCCCCATGTCCCAAGCGTTCCGTGTTGTTACAATACAACATCAAACAGAAGCAATCTGGGAAAAGAGCAAAGGAGGGAAGATGATTAAAGGGTTAAGAAAAAGCCGTGTTCATTAAAGTGATCCTTTCTCCCTTCCTCCACATCCGCTCTCCCATCAGTGGGTAGGAAAAGTTCTCATGCATTTGGAGGAAGGGTGGGATCGTTATTATCTCCAGGTATTTAACAGCGGGAAGCTTTATTAGTTGAGAACGTTCTAATTAGAGGCGAAACTTCCACTTCCAGCTTCCCACCCGCTCACGCTCAGAGAATGAATCAAAACCACTGCCCTAGAGACAAAACGCAGGGAGAGCCTTGCCCGCCATCCTACCAGGCAGAGGTGTTTAACCCCTTCGTTGGCCAGCCAGCTCCTCCAGGACACAGCCATGCCGCCGCCCCGCCGGAGAAGGAGCAGCGGAGGCCCGGGCAGCGGTTACAGTTGTGCGGTCTGCGGCGGGGGGGGGCCGGGGGGGGGTTCAAAGACTGAGTGGAAGCTCGGAGGCCGGCGCCGAGCCAGCCCGGGCGGGGTCTGCGCCCCGGAGCCGGGTCTTCCGGGCGCCGCGGCTCCGGCCCGCGCCGGGTCTGCGCTGCCCACTCGGCGGCCCCGGCCCCGCGCTCCGAGCGCGCTCCCTGGACCCCGCGGCCCGGGCTGCACGAGGCTGCACCGCCGCGCCGGCCCCTTTGTCTGGGGGCGAGCCTGTTGTTGTGGCTGCTGCTGTTCAGGATGTCCCGGGCTGGGAACTAGGAGGCGTCCCCCGCAGCCCAGCCCAGCCCGGCCTGCCTCCCTGTATTGAAAGACGACAAAGATGTGAAGAATGATCCTGGCCTACCTCTCGTACACATACACTTAGTTCTTTTGGGCAGGTCGTTTTCCTCCAAAGTGTTCAACTTAAAGAGACTTGGTATGGAAATTAGGGCCGGAAATAGCCTTTTGTGTGCTAGCGTTCCGGGTCTCTTGCCCAACCTCAGCAACTCATCCCGCCCCTCTACTTCACAACACATCCCTAAAGCCGCCCTCTTCTCTATCCCCCATCCCTACTCCGACCTTTTAAGAAAATTCTGCATAAAAAGAGCCCAGGTGGCAAATGGTTAAAGCTGATGTAATTCTCAGGGGCTTTAGGGAAGCTCAGATTCACTCTATTTAGCAATTTGCGTTTTACTACCTGGCTTCCGAATCTGTTCAGTAATAGGAATCCTCTCAAACTTGTATCAGAGGCCAGGTGAAGGGTGAGAAGAAGGTGGGGTTGACATAGTCTACCTATTTTACACTGCAACATATCAGTGTTAGTGAAGAGAAAAAAAGCCGCATAGAAGAATATCTGATGCAAAATAAGTGTTCAATAAAGGTTTGTGAAATCAGCACCTTCCCAACTTTGACAACTAACAAGTGGCTGAAAAAATAAACCACTAAGTAGCCTAATCTCATGGCTTTCAAGCTTTTTTTTTTTAAACGAAATACATTTTAAAACGCATCCATAATATGTAATTGAAACTAAAATTTCATAAAATTATACTACCTTTATCAAATGTAACGTACTTATCTCAGTTAATTTCATGAACTGATTAATGACTGATTTTGTTCAAAACTTGAATGATTCCATATTAAGTCTCAGTTACATTTCACCAAGTTCTGTTTCTAATACTCGATCATCTCTCTTTGATATATGACTTTCCTGTTTTATGTGTGATCGAACCCTGAAAACTGCCTCAAATATTTCTGGAGTTAGGGAACATATTATTTATCAGTAACATCCTGTTCTTATTAACCATATAATGCCTAACGGGCTAGAAAAACAGCACACAGAGAATCCAAGGAGAATCACTACTGGAGGAAGTTTAAATTCTGGGACACACAGGTTCTCCTCAAATTACCGTATTTTGCCATGTATAATGCACTCCTGTGTGTAATGGGCACCCATGTTTTTGGCCCAAACTTTCAATGAAAAAAACCTTTCATTTTAATTTTTTAATTCAAATTTTACTTGCTTATATTTAGGTACTTTTTTTTGTACTCTAAAGGAATTTTAGCACTTAATTATTTATTATTACATTTTTAACTCATAAGTATAAATAAAAGAATTAAAGACATTTATATAGATACAGAAGTAGTACTACCCATATATAATCTGCATCCTTATTTTTCCCTCACAGATTTGGGCAAAAAAGTGCACATTATACACGGCAAAATGCGGTACTCCCCTAAGTAATCATCCTAGAGATATAATTTCAATAAACGGGATGTAGGGAGGGTCTGGCAAAATGGCTTGGTTCTTGTCATGAGTTGAGAGGATTGAAGCAATTGAATAATAGTAGAATAAAAGACAGTGTTTTAAAAGTTCAGCTACTTCCTGGGGGGAAAAAAAAAAGACAAAAATAATGAATCTAGCTCTTACTTTTTACCTAACAAAGTCAGGCTTTCCTTATTACTTCATATATAAAATCTCACTTAATTCTCATAATAGCCCTCCATGCAGATGTCTGTGCCCCCACTTTAAAGATGAGAAAACTGAAGCTAAAATAGATTAATAAACTTGCCTGGGGGTGCTCTAGCACAGAAAGAGTTCATTCACCCCCACTAGCAGAGCCAAACACTAAACACTTGAGAATTACAGTGGAGAAATATTGTCTTATTTTATTACGAATGCCACCATCCAGGAGAGCAGGAAGCTAATACTCAAAAGCCCAAACTCCCTGCCGTGTAGGTTACAGATTATATAGGACACAATCACAAGACACCATGGGTTACAGGTTTGGGGTACTGCTGGGAGCTGATTGGTCGGAGGTGAGGTAAAGGTAATGAATCATTTCTTCAGGTCTTGAGGACAGTTCTAAGGTCTATTCTGGAGTCCCTCTGTCCAGTCTCATGGAAAAGTAGCCAGGGGGGAAAAAAAAAATTGTAGCCAGGGTACCATTCCACTTTGGGGCTCAGGAGCGGAAACATAACTTAGGTCAAGATGTTATCTGTAGCCTGCCAGAGGTCCAGACTGCATGACATTTCTTTAGTCAGGTCTGGGCTACAGTCTTCTACTGCCTGAGGGGGTTGCTGTTTATGGGGAAAGGCTAGGTCTCTGAGGAGTATATAAAGAGGGATATGATTTCCAGAGCTAGGATCTAAAACCAAATTTAATTAGGGCCGGCCGAGTGGCGTGTTGGTTAAGAACTGGCTTGGGATGCCAGAGGGCCCCAGTTCGGATCCCACATATGAGGGCCAGTGACACTGCCCTCTACAGCTAAGATGCTGAACAANCATGGGCTACCGTGTGTAGCCAGCAGCCAGCGTGAGCGGCCGTCCAGAAGCCGGCGACTGATCTGCCTCACCCAGGAAGAGCGCAATGATGGTGCCAGCTTGGGCCAGTGAAGCAATGTACTCCACAGCTACACTGAAGAACAACACAACAGCAACTTGTCTGTTCCCCTTCCCCCCAATTCCCCAGCGCTGTTCCCCTCCCTCAATTCCCCAATAAAATCTTTAAAAAATAAATAAATAAAAATAAAATAAAATAAAACCAAATTTAATCAAAGTCATAAGGATCCTCTGTTTCAAGGGGATTGGGAATTGGGGAGATATTGGTCAAAGGGTACCAACTTCCAGTTATAAGATGAAGAAGTGCTGGGGATCTAAGGTGCAGCATGGTGATTACTGTTAACAATACTGTATTATATACTTGAAAATTGCTCAGAGTAGATCTTAAATGTTCTCACCACAAAAAAGAAATGGTAATAACTATGTGAGGTGATGGAAATGTTAGCTAATGTAATCGTTTCACAATATATAAGTGTATCTAATCAACACATAGTACACCTTAAACTTACACAATATTATAATATCTCAATAAACCTGGAAATATGTTAACATCACAGCAAAGATGAAAACAATCAACTTTTTAAAAGACCGTTGCCTGAAATGGTAAAACAGGATCAACTTATGGTTCAGACAACCCATAACAGACACTTTAGTGAAACACTTTTGTAAAATGACAGAATGCTATACAAACGTTGATTGTTATATTTATCATGATTATCTTAGAGTAGCTCTGTAAAAAGGGCTTAGGATCCGATTGTTTATCTTGCCTTACAAGGAAACAGTACTGCAAACTACCCCCAGGCGACAGAGCTATTGCCTTGTTATGTGGGAACTCTCATTATTGAGTTTCTTTTCAATATAATCTTCTGTAAACCAGATCGTTCAAATAGTGTAGTTAGTACTGTATTTCCCAAGATAGGAAGGGATGTCCTTGAAAGCAATGAGGACAGAGTTCTGTAGCTATGTCACAATTCCAAAAATCATAATGAAAAAAAAAAATCACACTTTTGTCAGAAAAAACTTCACAGGAAAAAATAAAATGACAAATACCTTTGCTCTTGGCTAAAATAATGGAAGAGGGTAAAGATCATCCTATGTTGATTATGAACTCTGTCAGAGATGTTCTTGATCTATTATTTATTACTTAATAAACACAGCAGCTTTTTCTTTTTGTAGACAGTTCCCTTCAAAACATGAAATCTATGGAGGAAAATTGATACATGTTTGCCTCTTCTGTCTGCTGTATTACTCTGCCCCTTCATGTGTGGACCTAGAGGCATCTCTTTCTCATGAACATTTTCCTAACCCACCTCTCCTCCATGTTCACATGGGTTCATCCCGTCCTCTGTGCACTCGTCAGTGTGTTTATAACACTCCATGCACATGATCATCACTGCATTTTCCACACAATAATTTAATTGTATGTATGGGTATGCGTATGTCTAATTCTCCTCATCAACTGACCCCCTCAAAGACAAGGATCCTGTCTTATTCATTTTTAACCCAGGATTTATAACACAGATTGACACATAGCAAGAACTGACAGAATGTCTATTAAATGAAGAGTAGTTAAGTATATTGTCCTTCTTTCTGTACCTCTCAAACTCCAGTTTCTCAAGTGTAACTTTCCAGTAGTATAAGAAAAGTTTCTGTTTGGTTTGGCAATTAACTAGCAGAAAAAGACAAATGGGGCAAAGACCCCTTGATACGGTGTTACCTACAGCACAGGTCACCGGATATGCATTTGATATAAGTGGGCACCTGTATTAGCTTCCTGAGGCTAAATTTGTAACAAATTATTACAAATTTGTAACAAATTATTACAAATTTAGTGGCTTAAAATAACAGAAATGTATTCTCTCAGTTCCAGAGGCCAGAAGTCTGAAATCAGACCATTGAGTCAAAATCAAGGTGTTATAGGGACATGGTCCCTCTAAGATTCTAAGGCAGTAAGTTATCTGTTCCCTGACTCTTCCAGATCATGGTGGCTGCTGGCATACCTTTACTTGTGGCTGCATCACTTCAATCTCTGCCTCAATGGTCACACTGCCATCTCCTCTTCTATCTGTGCGTATGTCAAATCACCCTCTGCCTCTCTCTTATAAGGACACTTATGATTCTATTTAGGGTTCACTCAGATAATCCAAGATAATCTCCCCAAGTCAAGATCCTTAATTTAATCACATCTGCAAAACCCCTTTTTCCTTATAAAGTAACATTTATAGGTTCCTGGGATTAGGACCTTATATATTTGGGAGGTCATTATTCAACCTACTACAGCACCTAAA